CACAGCACTAGGCACGGGACTGGCGCACTGGCACTAACACAGGTACATACACCCTGCTGATCTCCGCAAAGTCCTGCTCCTTCCCGCCTCGCGTCTTTCTTTCTGTTTTCCGCTTTTCCCCATTCGATCCCCAGGACTCAGAATTCCTAGACTCGGTCGAGAGACCCCAGCCAGATTGGCATCCATGCCTTTCTGGACAGGGTGGCCCGCCACAAGGACCCCAGGAATTGCGACTCGCCGCTTTCCTCCCGCTGTGATTCTGTGCGAGCTGTGTCTTGATTTGCCAACAACAAACCTAAAACAAAAATATTCCTAGGAATACTACTCGAACGATCACACAGGGCGCGGGGCGAGCCACATCATCTGGTTCGCGGCGGGAAGGAAATTCTTTTCCGATGGCCAATATGAATTTTTCCACGAAGGCGGACGGACGCCTAGAAGAAGTGTCACAAATGTCAGATCGGAGCGAGGAGCGTCGCTGGCGTGATGAGCAACGGCGCGCCGAGTGCGGACGCGAATATTGGCGATGGCGGGGCGAGCCGCGACGGCGGTCGCGATCGCGCGATGAGCCGCGTCGGGATGAGCTGCGACGGCGCGATGAGCGTTGGCAAGGCGAGCAATGGCCGCACCATGACGGGCGGCAAGATGAGCGGTGCGGCTGCAGCGACGCTTGGTGCAGTGGGCGCGAGCAGCGATGGCACGCTGAGCCACACGCCCCCGCTGAGCGATGGCGCGACGAGCCTTGGCGAGGCTTGCAACGGCCGCATCATGACGGGCGGCATGACGAGCGGCGCGGCTACGACGATCAGGGCAGAGGCCAACGCGAGCGCGACTGGCACGATCCGCGCGATGACCGGCGCGACGACCAACGCGGCGAGGGGCAGCCTCAGCACAGCGGTCGCCGGGTGGGACCGCCGATGCACGGTGCGCAAGGATGCGACGAGCAGGGAAACCGCGACGCACCAACGCGCAATGAGCGCCTCGCGTCTAACCGCTCTGCTGCCGGCGGTCAGCTCATGCTAAGCAGATCAACGGCCAGATCTCGCATGCCAGCGGCGCCATTGAGCTGCTCGCGCTCTTTGCTGCCCACAGCGCGAGCTTGAACCACATCCACGCTGCGAACCTGTGGAACAAAACTGGGCAAGCAGCGCGTCGAGCGGCGGCACGAGGAGCAGCTTGAGCAGCTGGTGCAGCGCACGCTCGACCTGGTTTCTTCGTGCCGAGCACGCGAGCTGGCCAACGTGTCTCACGGCGTTGCAAAGTGCGGCCTGCAGGCGAGGGTGGTGCACCCGTTGTTCGTAGCGGTGGCGGAGGCGGCGGTGCGCGGCGGGCTGGCTGGCTTCAACCCTCAGGACATGGCCAACACGGTGTGGGCGTATGTGACGGCGGGCGTGGCTGCGGACGCGCTGTACGCGGCGGTGGCGGAGGCGGCGGTGCGCAGCGGGCTGGCTGGCTTCAAGCCTCAGGAACTGGCCAACACGGTGTGGGCGTATGCGACGGCGGGCGTGGCTGCGGACGCGCTCTACGAGGCGGTGGCGGAGGCGGCGGTGCGCGGCGGGCTGGCCGGTTTCAACCCTCAGGACATGGCCAACACGGTGTGGGCGTATGCGACGGCGGGCGTGGCTGCAGACGCGCTGTACGCAGCGGTGGCGGAGGCGGCGGTGCGCAGCGGGCTGGCTGGCTTCAAGCCTCAGGAACTGGCCAACACGGTGTGGGCGTATGCGAAGGCGGGCGTGGCTGCGGACGCGCTGTACGCGGCGGTGGCGGAGGCGGCGGTGCGCAGCGGGCTGGCTGGCTTCAACCCTCAGAACCTGGCCAACACGGTGTGGGCGTATGCGACGGCGGGCGTGGCTGCAGACGCGCTGTACGCGGCGGTGGCGGAGGCGGCGGTGCGCAGCGGGCTGGCTGGCTTCAACCCTCAGAACCTGGCCAACACGGTGTGGGCGTATGCGACGGCGGGCGTGGCTGCAGACGCGCTCTACGAGGCGGTGGCGGAGGCGGCGGTGCGCGGCGGGCTGGCCGGCTTTACGCCTCAGGACATGGCCAACACGGTGTGGGCGTATGCGACGGCGGGCGTGGCTGCAGACGCGCTGTACGCAGCGGTGGCGGAGGCGGCGGTGCGCAGCGGGCTGGCTGGCTTCAACCCTCAGAACCTGGCCAACACGGTGTGGGCGTATGCGACGGCGGGCGTGGCTGCGGACGCGCTGTACGCGGCGGTGGCGGAGGCGGCGGTGCGGAGCGGGCTGGCTGGCTTCAAGCCTCAGGACCTGGCCAACATGGTGTGGGCGTATGCGACGGCGGGCGTGGCTGCGGACGCGCTGTACGCGGCGGTGGCGGAGGCGGCGGTGCGGAGCGGGCTGGCTGGCTTCAAGCCTCAGGACCTGGCCAACACGGTGTGGGCGTATGCGACGGCGGGCGTGGCTGCGGACGCGCTGTACGCGGCGGTGGCGGAGGCGGCGGTGCGCAGCGGGCTGGCTGGCTTCAAGCCGCAGGACCTGGCCAACACGGTGTGGGCGTATGCGACGGCGGGCGTGGCTGCAGACGCTCTGTTCGCGGCGGTGGCGGAGGCGGCGGTGCGCAGCGGGCTGGCTGGCTTCAAGCCGCAGGCGCTGGCCAACACGGTGTGGGCGTTTGCGACGGCAGACCAGTACCACGCGCTGCTGTTCGCCGAGTGCTCGCGCGTGGTCAGCGGCTCCCTTTGAGAGGGTCCGTCGGGTTATGGCATCGAGGAGCGCCGTCAGCTGCACCAGTGGCAGCTCTGGCTCTTTTTGGAACACGCCGCAGACGCGCAGCAGCACCTTCTCTCCGAGTCCGAGCGGCGGCTCTGCTGCGACGCCATGCACGATACACAAGTGAGGGTCTCGGCGCTGCAGCGCTCCGTCGCGGCTGCCCTCGCCGCCGTCCGTTTCGGCTTCGAGGAGGAGTACGACGAGCCGCGCACCGGCTACTCGCTCGACCTGGCGCTGCCCTCTTCACGCATCGCGATCGAGGTGGACGGCCCGACTCACTTCCTGCTGCCCGACGGCCGGGGTGTGCGCAAACCCAACGGGCACACGCTCCTCAAGCGGCGCCTCCTCGCGGCGGCCGGCTGGCGGGTGATCAGCGTTCCGTTCTTCGCGTGGGACGGCTTGCGTTCGGCCGGTGAGCGGCAAGCCTACCTGGAGTGGGTGGTCGCCTCGCAATAGTAGTCTACTCTTGTACCACCGAGCGCGGCCCCCCCAGAGAAAAGCTGTGTGAGAGAGAGCCCGCGGGCGCGGCGACAACATATCTCATATGTGTAGAGCCGTACTGTAGTCCGTGTTTACAAGTTGCGGGACATCTTTCTTCTTACATCAGACTTGTGTGAGGAGAGTGAGGTACACCGCACGTACTCGTACTGTGGTGCCCCAAAACAGCCAACACGCAACAGGGTTCGAGGGTGTGTAGAGTGTACGCACTCCTTCACAGCTCTCATGAAGGGCGGCGGGCCGTGTCCGGAGAAGGTGCCGGCCGCGGCGCCCTCGCCCCTCCCTCCCCCCACCCCCCCTTCCCCCCCTCCAGATCGTCTTCCCCCCTCCGCCCGCCTCCCTTCCCGCCTGCCTCCACAGCCCTTTTCGATCGCGCGCAGGCCCGCGTCGCCATCTCCGGCATGCCGGCAGCCCACTTTACCATCGCCTCCTCGGTCGCTGCCGCTTCCCTCGCAGTACGAGGTCGGCATGCCGCCAAGCCCGCCGCCGCCAAGCCCGCCTCCCCCGTCGCCGCCCCCACCGAGCCCACCTCCCCCGCCGCCGCCCGCTCCCTCACCCCCTCCACCGTCTCCACCACCGCCATCGCCCCCGCCGCCAAGCCCGCCGCCCCAAGCCCGCCGCCGCCAAGCCCGCCGCCAGCGCGTCGGCTCGGAGAAGATGTACTTCCAGAGCACATTGACTCGCAAAGCCGCTGTCATCTCGTTGCAGCTCAACACGGTGAGGAGGAAGTTCTCCAGCTTGTTGTCCGCGCCCGGGACCTTCAGAGCTAGGGAGTGTTGCGATGGCCGCCCAAATGCGAACGCAGGAGATAAAATGCTTTGCGGCGACGTTCCGTGGGTAGGATCAAGTCGCCGCTTGCTTTAATAATAGTCTACGCGCGTCCTCGGGGCCAAGGCGCAGTCCAGCTGTCTGAGGGAGAGAGTCTCCCTCGCTGCGCGTTTCGAGCGCAACCTGGCAGACGGAGTCGGGGCGCTCCCGCACGCGTGCCGGTGGGGAGCTCCGCTTGCCGCACGCCTGCTTTTCGCTGCACAAGCTTGTGCTGTGAATCCCCAGGGCCTCCAGGGCTCGCACCTCAACCTCTCACAGACCAACGCACAAAACGTATTTTCTTCTGAAAAACAAGGCTGTGAACAGCGTCTCAGATCGCTCTTTGAGACAAAACCTCCCCCCCGCACAAAACCGCCCCCCCCGATCGAGTGAGATCCACGGTATATGCGTGCAACGCCCTGCCGCGCCCTCCATCCACGCGAGGCCCGGGGCCCCGTTCATATAAGCATGAATTGTGAGTGAACGCTCATTTTAGCCCCCCGCTACCCGGTTGCACTCGTGCGACGTTTAGGGGGGCCACAATTACGTTTACGAAAACATAAGTAGTCCCGCGAGGTGTGAATTGGCCGCCCCAGTAGCCCCCATTTCCACTGGGGACGCTTTTCGTGGCAAACCCAAAGTTGCGCTGCGCGCGAAGCCGGCTTTTGAAAGCGCGAAACGAATCTCGTTCGCTGCAACCTTCATGCCACCCCGCGGTCGTCCCACTCTCGTCGTTCTCTCTTGTCGCTTCTTCCTCTGTCGCGTCGCTCTCCTCTGCCTCGTCCTGCGACGGCGCCGCCGCCTGCCGCTCCCTGGAGCACTTGGATACCGTGAATGCTTGGAGCACTTGGAGCTTTTTTCCGAATTTTTTCCAGTGTGCCCGCCGCGCGTAGGGGCTGTGTGTCTGTGCATGTGTGTGTGTGTGTGTGTGTGTGTGTGTGTGTGTGTGTGTGCATGTGTGTGTGTGTGTGTGTGTGTGTGCGTGTGCGTGTGCGTGTGCGAGCCGCCCTGAACGCCACGAGCGCGCCGCGAGCGCCGTAGCGCCGGCGAGCGCCGTCGGCAGCGCGCGACCGCCACCCAAAAGCGGAGGTACATCAGGAGCCGCAGCCGGCCTGCTCTATCAGCCCCGCAGCCGCGGTGGCGCGACCGGACCGCGGTCGCTCCAGGCGCCTTTTGGCCCCGGTTCGAATCGCGGTTGGCGCGCGCCCTCGCGGAGCGACGCGTGGCGCGCGACGCGCGCGCGTGCGCGTGCGCGCCCAGCCGAGCCCTAGGCCGTATGCCGTCTGCCGTCGGCCGTCGGCCGTCGGCCGTCGGCCGTCGGCCGTCGGCCGTCGGCCGTCGGCCGTCGGCCGTCGGCCGCCGCCGCCGCCGTAGCGGCGGCGAGCGCTCGCCTTTTGCGCGACGCGCAGTGTGGACGCGCGCCGCCCAGCGCCGGACGTGCCGGAGCCGGTCCGGCGCGCGCGCGGGCGGCCAGCGCCTGTAAACAGACAGCTGCCGCCCACACGTTCAAACTTCAAAGGTCACCCGTTCCCAGTGTTGTGCGAGGGAGTGCACGTAAAATTCTTTTTACGTCGGCTAAGCGCGCGGGCAGCAGCTGCGCGGCGCGGGCAGTGACAAATACATGGCCTCCTGCGCCTCCTCCTCCTCCTCCTCGTCTGCGTCGGAGGCACCGTCAACGCTGGCACGGCGTCGGCGACAGGAGCTGCACGCTTTGCGCGCGGCGCTCAGTCGCGGCGAAGCGTGTAGGCTCGCCGCAGTTCGAACTGCAGCGGCGGCGCAGGAGGAGATGGTCGATCTGCAGGCGCGCTACCGCTCGTCGCAGTCGCAACTTCGCACTTTGCGGGCTGAAA